AGGCGAAGCTGCCAGCCATCGCTCGGCAAACAGAGCCGAAGCCCCGCAGGAAAGCAGGATGCTTTCTGCCCCAAGGAAAAAGGATGCAGTCCTGCAAGTAAAGCTTTGCCTTCGCATCCTTGAGTTTCAAAAGGAGATCACAGCTGAGCCTGGGAATCACCCCGGACAACGCCACAAAACGCCTGCCGTGGTGTCTGGAGGAGGAACAAGAAAACCAGCCCTGCTAGGATCACATCCCGCCTCCACCTCGGGCCCAAAATCTCCTTCCCAGCCCCAGCTTCCCAAATGCTCCAGCCCCAAGAGCCTGACGCGCTCCATACGCACCCATGGCACATCCCAACTCTCTGTCCCCGCAGAAATCCCGGCCAGACGCACGCTGAGAGCGCAGGGTTTGCTCCCTGGAAAGGCACACGCTGCTCTGCGAGCCGGGGGAAGCAAGGGGCAGCCAGAAAACTGCTCAGGAGGGCAGGGATGCTCCCCGTCCTCCAGCCAGCCCTGCCCCTCTCCAAAGCCCCTCTCCCCCGGGGTCAGCAGGGCTGGGACGGGCAGGCTCTGCTCAGTTCCGTGGGAAAAACTGCACGGGAAGGATGCCCACGCCCACGCTAACGCCGCGAGCAGACCACGCTGGGAAGGCTCGGCCATCGCTGAGCTCCGCGTTCAACCCGGGCACCGACACGGAGCCTGAACGAAGGTCTGGCGCCCGTCCCCTCCGGGGCAATCGCACCCGCAGCCTGTGCCAACGGAAAAGGGAGGAAAAGAGAAAAACGGCTGCATCGTAATTAGCTGGAAGTGAAGGATTAAGAAATTAGACTGGGTGGCTGGCTTGCATTTCAAAAGCAGCCTGAAGAGAGCTCCTCTCTCTCATCTGCACGCTCAGCAGGTCGCCACTAAGCCCCCGCCTGGAGGAAACCTCCCAGGGCTGTCACACAAACCCCTGGGAAGTCTCAGGGACCACCCCAGCTCTCGCAAGCCAAACTGCCCAACCGACAGCATGGCTGGGGCAGATGAGAGAAAGATTTCACCCGAATCTGGGCCAGACCCTGCCGTAGCCCCAGGCCTTCGCAGGTTACAAGCACTTTGCCTTGCAAGCTGAAGCAAGAACAGTTTGTGGCTGCTGGGGGTGGTGGAGCCATTAATAACAGCAGTAATCCAGCACCCACATGGTGAGAAGGGTGAGGACCAAGGGCCCCATCCGGCAGGATCCGGCACTGCCCCACCACGAGCCTTGGCGTTCAGCACGTGTCCCAGCGGAGCACCACGGCCATACAGAGGGAGAACACATTTGTGCAACGCTAAAGTTGAGGAAAAAACCTGAAGTGCCCAAAGAGTCCCACTGCTGGGGGCCGAGCACGGAGGGGGAACCCCCAGCACGGCTCCCGTCCCCTTTCCTTGTGCCCTCCTGCTCCCGCCTGTCCCAGCTGGGCCAGGGGCACCCACAGCCCCGTGCATGGGAGTCCATCCCGAGGAGGCACGGCATTTGCTTTGTGGAGCCAGATAAAAGGGCTGGAGGAGGCTGCTGCCTCCTGCCCACTTGAGGAGGGAAAGCTCTCAAGGACAGCGTACCCCTGGGGACAGAAGGAACACCCTCCCCTCTGCAAACCATCCTTCTGGTCGGACGGGGGCTCGTCCTCTCTCCAGCATCTCCACAGCACGGAAAAAGGAGAGCTCAGAGGCAGAAAAGTCTCTTTACTTAGCCAGAAAGTTCCTCTGCCCACAGCAAAATGCGACTTGCTGCTTTGTGACCCTGCCTCTCACGGACGAGCGGGGGAGGAAAGGCGGTGTGGGACGCCCGCTATCTA